TGTTGCACGTAAACAAGGAAGCGGTCGTCCTAAAAAAATCACTGCCAGTGCATCCAAGGCCATCGGTCAATATTTGAGGCGAGATTCAACTGCCTCATCTCGAAAGATGGTGCCTAAATTGGCTGAAAAAGGTCTTGAACTATCGTATAGAACGATTTCAAGACATTTGGGAGGCCTGGGCTATAAGAATAATGTGCCTGGGCTACCCCAATGCTTACCGATAATCATACGAATTGATGCCCACCTTAATGATAACTGGCAGAAACCCCTTTTTGCGGATGAAACTGCATTTCAGTTATTTCGGAATATCGGTCGGGCGCCTTTATACCATTGCGCTATGGTCCGTCCTATCCCAAAAAATCGGGTCAAAATTTTTGCTTGGGTGGATTTTGCGCGAAGGGCAAAACAAGCCTTTATTGCTTTCACGGCATAATGACAGGGCCAATATACGTTGAAATTCTTCAGAGGCACTTACCTGGATAATAACGACAAATGCTCGGAAGAGTCTGGCGTTTCCAACGATCCGAAGCATACGAGCTCTGTCGCCAAACAATTTCTTCAAGCCAATATGTAAACTCGATGAAAAGACGTTGTGAGGTGATTATTGAAAGTAATGGTGAACAAATTCCTTTTTAATTCTTATAAATAAAATCTGTGCGTTTTACAGCTTTAAATGAGGTATTTTGAGTCCCAATTTATTTGCTCATTGTAAAGTTATTGTAATTTACCGAGGGCAATATTTTTTGTCCCACACTGTATTATGCCGCACGGCTGCGTAATCGGACAAATCGGACAGCAATAATAATGCGTTTCGCATATAATCTCTGTATAATAAATAGATTATCAACAGCGTACTGAAAGATTCGCTCGATACAAAGCTTTTGAATAAATAGTAACTTGTAGAATACAATTATACATTGCACATAATTCCATTATTTATATTTTCTACTACAATTTACTTAAAAATTAGAAAGCTAGTAATAATGCCCCAATCTTTATTGCATTCAAATAAAAGTGATTTAGATCTAAAAAATTTTTATTATCGGAAACTTAACTCCGATAATGCAGACAGCGTGCTTTACTACGCCCATGTCAGACAACCTCTTAGGAAAGGTTACGATTTAAAGAACAAAGATTATTATAATCATTGTTCTAAATGGACAATTCTATATAGAAAAAAAAGATGTGTACAGGTCATCCGATGCTACAAGACTAAGCCTAAAACAAGCAACACTGATAACTAATTTGGACGTTACTCGATTCTCTTAGTAAATCGAATGAATGAAATTTCTCTATAAAGCAGAGGTCGATGTTCACTCCTCGAAAGACTCGCATATGCATGTCCTATTATCATACACTCATATAATTCACTCATATAATCTAACCGAAATTCGATGGCAATATTTAATGACGATTTAATGAAGAAGTTTGACGAAGAATATGGGAAGGCTCATCCCTATTGCTCCAAAGAAGAGTTGCTAGCATACAACACTAAACCAAACAAAAATGGGCACCCAAGAAGAACCCGCAATGCAGCTCTGATATATCTAAAGGAATATAGTAAACAACTGAAGAGCCGAGGAAATCCTGTCTATATAAGGGGAGGCGCGAAAACGCTTGTCAAACAAGCGATGGAAGAATGGAACCTCCTCGGACCCTCCCAACGACTCTTATACGAACTTGCAGCCGCTATAATAGAAAAGAAATTCAAAGAAACGTACCCGGGCTACAAGTTCATGCCTCAACCGAAAAAGATCCAAACGATCTTTAAACCCTATAGTAAAAAATGTGCGGGAAACATCAGCCCAATGGCAGTGCAAATGCCAGAAACAACAGAAACGAATGGCATACACAACAACTCAAATGTCCCAGGAACATCCTTTTCTGGCAATTGCTCCCCTTCGCAATCTTCCGAAACTAGCCCAGACGTTGAATCTCCTGAGTCCTCTTTCATATTGTCACCGCAATTGTCTCCCCCGACGTCAGAGGCTGCATTATCGAATGAATCTTTGGAATATACCATGACTTCAAAACCTGAACAGCAGCCAACTGTCGAATATGTTTACGACAATGATTTATATACGGGTAACGCTTCATTGCACGGATGTGAGGAGCTTAATGATCAATTAGATTTATTTGAAGAAGAGTCCAAAAAGGATTTGATTTCGAATACAAACTATTATTCATATTATAATTTATTGTATCAATACTTTTGAGATTTGTATGTTATAAGACTTTTTCCTAATAAACGATTTTGATACGTTTAATGCGAGAGACAGAGTTTGATACCTTCTGACGATCTCACCATTTTGAGCGAACACGGTGAATTGACGATCTCATCATTTTTGAGAGAACACAGTTACTCAATTTGGCAATCGCGATACAAAGGCTGATTGTAACGCCGAGATTATCAGTCGCTTATTTCATTGGAAACTAGTCTAACAGCCGGCTATTATGGAAAAGATTAAGTAGAAAAAAGCGGTTATGTTTACAATGAGAATTCATCCACGTAATAGCTACCTTTGTGTACAGCCTTCCCATCAGGAGGTTCAACTAGCTCTTTATCTTTAAATTACGTTTACGATGTGGTCGGTAGGGTTCCTTCAAGGGGAGCTTCATATAATTATCATCTTAAGATACAGAAAAAAATAGTTGCTTGTAGTCCATCAGCCATGTTGGATAAAGTTGGTTTGAAGGAGTTGGGATAGCTATTATTATTATGTACCACATGTATTTATTGCATGTATTGTAAACTGTCGCTGTTACTAACAAGGGATTGTATAAATAGGTATATTTTAAGTAAAGAGATTGGCCAGTAATTGGTCATCAATAATAATAATTGGATGCAAATAATAAGAGAAGACCAGAACTTTTCTTCTTTATTTATGGTTGATCGAATATCTGAAAAGACGCATCGAATCTTTAGGATTTGACCGCTGTTTATATACATGTCGAGATTATATAATAATAATAATAATAATAATAATAAATACTGCTAATAATAATATCACTATTCCGTGTTGTCTAAATTACCTCATTTGTCATTGGGAAATATTATGTCTAATCTTCATATTTATTAAT